GCAACATTTTGATATATCAGAAACTATATCCTCTAGACGAGCAGGGATAATAATACATTTGCTTATTAAAATAATGCTTAAGCAGAAATTTGTGTCGTTGATATTGTTATTTAGCAGCTGTTTCATATTTGTCTCAATTGTATTTGTAGCATACTTGTATCTAGGTGTCACATTCATTGTGTGGGTCAAAAGTGGGATTGGATGAACCATTATCCACCCCTTTTTTTCTTAACACCATAATGCATCCTGAAGAAGACGAGGAATCATCATATCCAACTCTAATCTAATGAGAGAACAATTTAAGCGTTAATAATCCAAAAAACTCCAGAGAGAGAGCATTTTCTTTTTTCAGACTCACAAAGCTGAGTTCATCCTCACTCATTTTTAGTTGTACCCAATATTAAAAATCAGAAAACAGCAATAAAAACGACGTGACACAACATGACTCAAGCATTACTGCTGGTTAAAGTAAGATAAGCTGACCTCTGCTGCTGGCATGATATTATTAGTTGTGTTTTGTATCACCAGCAGAGGGCGCTACAGAGCTATACAAACAGCCGCAATAACGTTCAGTTTATTTATAAAGCACATTTAAAAAAGGCCACAGGCGACCAAAGTGCTGTACAAGTTAGAATAAAAAAAAAAAATAAGTACACTAATATCAGCAAAACAGTTAAAACAGAACACTATTATAAAGTACACTAATACTAGCAAAACAGTTAAAACTGAACACTCTTATAAACTAAAAGCAACAGAATATCTAAGTTTTGAGACATGACTTGAACTCAGACAAAGTGGAAGCTGATCTAATATAGAGTGGGAGCTTGTTCCACAGTGTCGGGCCGGCCACTTCAAAGACTCGGTTACCCCTCGATTTTAGCTTTTTAGATTTTAGTTTTGGGTGTCTGAAGGAGTTTATCTTTGGATCTAAGGCCTCTGGTGGGAGAGTAGGGGTGAAGTAGATCAGACAAATAAGAAAGTGCTAAATAATTTAATGATTTATATACCAGTAATAAAGTTAAACTCAATTCTAAAATGAATCGGAAGCCAGTGAAGGGATCTCAGAAGGGGGGTAGCATGATCAAATTTCCTCTTTCCGTTCAGGAATCTCACCACAGCATTTTGAACTACCTGTAAGCATACCATTTGGTACTTAGATATACCAAAATAGAGGGAATTGCAATAATCCAGGCGAGAGGTAATAAGAGCATGGATAGCAATCTCCAAGGAGCGCTTGGGTAGAAAGGATTTGATTTTCAATAGAGAACGAAGAAAGAAAAAGCTGGACCCATTGACTGCACTAATCTGCTTGTCAAATTTGAGGCAACTATCTACCATCACACCTAGATTCCGTACTTGGGGAGAGATGAATTGATTTAAAGATTCAAGGTCAAGGTGATTTCTTGGGCTGAATTCTGAGGGGTCAAAAACAATGACTTCTGTTTTGTCTGAGTTCAGAAAAAGAAAATTATTGGCAAGCCAAGCTTTCACATCCTCAAGACATGCTTTTAGGTTGCCTAGAGTACTCTTATTTCCTAGACACAGGCATATAGATTTGCATATCATCGGAATAGCAATGAAAGGAGACATTATGTTTCCTAAAAATGGAACCCAGAGGGAGAAGATAGAGAGCAAAAAGGACAGGAGCTAAAACAGAGCCTTGAGGCACACCACAGGATAGATTGCGAAGAGAAGAAGAGAAAAGTCCTATTTTTACAGAGAAATGTCTATTGGTTAGAAAATATTTAAACCAACTTAAAACAGACCCCCCCCCCCCCCCCCC